ATTACTCTTAATAAAGTAAGAAGCATAGATACTATGCTCTTGTGAAAGCATACTGTATATCTAGTCCCTTGCTCAAAATATCTATTACGGAAGATTTTTTTTATTTGGAACCACATAAGAATTACTACAAGACTATTTCTAAAAGAAAAAACATTGGATTTTAAGTTTTCTGACACATAGATCTAGCACTTCAAAAATTGGATGTCCTCTATTGGATATATATATATATATATATATATTTATTTATTTATTTATTTTATTTTTATTTTTTTTGTAGATTTGTCTATAGTTGCAGAGATTACATCTCTAGAATTTGAGATCTAACTAGCATGTGTTTTATCTGAGGGAGTAAATTGATAGTATACTCTCAAAGTAGTAGGAAACTTTTTAGGTAACTTCAAAACAGACAAATTTAATATATAAAACTTCCTATAAAGTTTCCTCAAATAACTTTATGATGGTCACTATTAAACAACAAATAGTTCTTCATCAGAAAAACAGTGATAACAAATACATCCAAACTGTCTTTGTCTTTGTTGTTGGGAGGTAAGGCTATTATTTTTATAGGGCAAGCTGTCCATGTTTTCCCGATTGTATAAAACTTCTATACTTCCTATTATTCAACCATCCATTCATTTTGAATGGAGATTGAGATGACTTTAATCACAATGTCATATCTCTAAATTATTTTATTTTTAATATTTTTTTACAAAATATTTTGACACAAAATTTTGGGCACCTACTCCTCTCTTAAATGTGCACTTGTAAAAAATATATAAAAAATATTTTCAATAAAATAAAATGACCGAACACCTTGAAAATCTTTAAAAGGTATTTTGGTCATTATATTTTTATCAAAAAAATTTTTTAATATTTTTTTAAGTGCACCCCATTGAGTATACGGGACATACCAAATGTCATATTGATATAATTTATAAAAAAAAATTAAAAATAAAATACTATAAGATGTCAAATCTATATCAAAGAGTGAGCAGCTTACTTGATCTAAACTGGACTGCTCGAAAAAAAAAAGCAGTATATCTTCTATGCTGCAGGGAAAGTAGCAAAGCCTTTCCCAATTTTATATTCTACGTGACGGAAACAAGGATTGTGAAAGCCAATATCCACCGTCCATCCATACTTGATAAAATCTTGAGTTGGGGTAATCCTTTCCATGTCTCAATCACGGTATTGATATTTAATGTCTTTGTTGATGGACGGTGTAGGTCATCTGTCACGCGCAAATCGCAATATTATGTGAAGTCGTCACATAATTTGGGATGAATTGAAAAATAATTTATGTTTTGGAAACTATTACTTTTTGTTAAGGAAAATGTATATATCCACATAGTTAATTATGGTAAGGCGTTTATTACAATGGGTTGTATACATTGAGGCTATTTATTTTTAGTGTAAGGAGGTCACAATTACTTATAATCATACGATATAAAATCAGATAGCTTGATGTGTTTCAAGGTTCGAAAAAATTTGTTTTAACTTTGAGCTTAATCAATGAAATAAATGCTGCCACCCAATTGTACATCTAATGGTCGAAATATATTGTGACCACCGTGTATCAAAGGTAATAGTCCGAGCTTGTCAATAAATAATATTTTTTAAATCTAATTTGAACCTAATTTTTAGAGAATATAT